CCTACCTGCCCTTCAGATCTGGAATTGAACCCACACCTGTGGTTTCCAGCCAAACAAAAGACAGGCATATGAGTTGAACATTTACCTCAAGTAGATACAGTCCTTGGAGAGAACAACCATGGGAGAGAGAAGGGCTGCTTATGCACAGGGAGACAGCTCAGGGGGCAGGAGTGCATGGAGGGATGAACACAGGCAAGAGGTAACTATGGGGAAGAAGTGGGAGGGGAGCTGTTGCATTGTGGTGAACTGTGGTCAATGTCATAAGACAAAGTGTATGTGAACTGCTGTATGGAAAGTGAATTTGCTCTGTAAACTTTCACCCACATCACAATAAAAGAATAAAAAAAAAAAAAGAGCCGAACAGAAGATTTCAAAGAGCAGCTCAAGAAGACAAAGTCAATTACTGTAATGAAATATGTGAAGACCTGGAGTTAGAAAACCCAAAGAGAAGAAAATGCTCGGCATTTCTCAAGCTGAAAGAACTGAAGAAAATATTCAAGCATCAAGTTGCAATACTGAAAGATTGTATGGGCAAAATATTGAATGATGCAGGAAACATCAAAAGAAGATGGAAGGACTACACAGTCACTGTACCAAAAAGAACTGGTCAATGTTGATCCATTTCAGGAGGTAGCATATGATCAAGAGCCAATGGCACTGAGGGAAGAAGTCAAAGCTGCACTGAAGGAACTGACGGACTACCCACTGAGATGTTTCAACAAACAGATGCTACGCTGGAGGCACTCACTTGTCTATGCCAAGAAATCTGGAAGACAGCTACCTGATCAACTGACTGGAAGAGATCCATGTTTGTATCCATTGCAAAGAAAGGTGATTCCATAAAATGTGGAAATTATCGAACAATATCATTAATATCACGTTTAAGTAAAATCTTGCTGAAGATAATTCAAAACCAGTTGCAGCAGTATATTGACAGGGAACTTCCAGAAATGCAAGCTGGATTCAGAAGAGGACGTGGAACAGGGATATCACTGCCGATGTCAGATGGATCTCGGCTCAAAGCCAAGAATACCAGAAAGATATTTACTTGTGTTTTATTGACTATGCAAAAGCATTTGATTGTGTGGATCATAACAAATTATGGATAACAATGAAAGAATGGGAATTCCAGAACACTTAACTGTATTCATGAGGAACCTGTACATAGACCAGGAGGCTATTATTTCAACAGAACAAAGGACTACTACATGGTTTAAAATCAGGAAGGGAGTGTGTCGGGGTTGTATCCTTTCACCATACTTATTCATATGCTGAGCAAATAAACTGGATTATATGAAGAAGAATGTAGCATCAGGATTGGAGAAGACTCATTAACAACTGTGATGTGTGGATGACACACCTTGCTGAAAATGAAGATGATTTGAAGCACTTACTGACGAAGATTAAACACTACAATTTGCAGTGTGGATTACACCTCAACATAAAGAAAACAAAAATCCTCATAACTAGACCAATAAGCAGCATCATGACAAATGGAGAAAAGATTGAAATTGCTAAAGATTTCATATTACTTGGATCCACAATCAACACCTATGGAAGCAGCAGTCAAGAAATCAGACGTTGTGTTGCACTGGGAAAATCTGCTGCAAAAGACCTCCTTAAAGTGCTGAAGAGCAAAGATGTCTCTTTGAAGACTAAAGTGTGCCTAGGCCAAGCCATGGTATTTTCAATAGCATGTGAAAGCCGGACAATGACTGCGGAAGACTGAAGAAGAGTTGATGCTTTTGAGCTGTGGTACTGGTGAAGAATACTGAAGAAGTACCAGAAGAATGAACCAATCTGTCCTGGAAGAAGTGCACGCAGAATGCTCCTTGGAAGCGAGAATGGCCAGACTTGTTCTCACCCCCTTTGGTCATTTTGTCAGGAGGGACCATTCCCTGAGAAGGGTGTCATGCTTGGTAAAGTGGACGGTCAGCGGAGAAGGGGAAGAGTCTCAATGAGATGCATTGGCACAGTGGCTGCCACAATGGGCTTAGGTACAGCAAGGATTGTGAGGCTGGCATAGCACTGGGCAGTGTTTCGTTCTGCTGTACATGGGGAACTGTCAGAGCTGACTTAATGGCACCTAACAACAACAGCAGCAGCCAAGTTGTTTGTGGATGTTGTTTTAAAAGTATATGTCAACAAAAGAAATAACAGAGGGAAAGGAGACATCAATAACGTTTTGGAAGCTGGTGAGCGATCACCAACTTAGCATACCCCAGAGCTCAGTGAGCTTACTCCTTAACAGGCAATGAATAAAACAACCTGCTTTATACAGAAAGCCTGCACAACACCAAGGCTGAAGGCAAGGCAAAGACAAGAGAACTGGTGTTAAAAGTCTATGCAGCAGTCAGCCCACGGTGAAAAGCCCTATACTAACAGCCCAATGGACACTCCAGGCCCACGGCTGGGTTCATCACTAGTGTCTGCTAGCTAGAGCGTTTTGTCGAGGGATCTCAATTACTGGCAAAGGTTTAGGTCTTATTTCTTGAGTTGGTCTGAGTTCCCAGCAAACTCTTCCAATTTTGAAACAAACCTAGCCAACAATTTAGAATAAAAATAAGGGAAATAAGCCAACGAGTGCAAATACTCCAAGTGCTCATCAACTGCGAATGGTTAAACTAAACTAGTACATCCATACCATGGAACACTGTTAGGCAACACAAAGGAGGGTCATACTGACACCTGGCCCAGTATGGATGAGTCTCAGAATCATGACCAACTGTGTCACGCTGCCAGCACTGTTGTCAGCATATTAAGTCCATTTATATGGTATGGAGTGTCCAGCAAGGATAAATCTATAGTGACAGAAAGGAAATGAAATCAACTGTGTCCGCCAAACATGTGTCTCACCCTGGCTGGCCATGACTCCCAGTACTGTGTGACTGTCGTCCATTTTGTGGTGTGTCGTAAATCCTAACCTCAATATGTTAATGAGACAGGATGAGTGTGGGGTGCATCTCAAGTCACCATCTGACAAGACAGTTCGACTCAAGTCCCACCCTTGCTTGACTCACACCTTTCAT